GCATTTAGCCCCGTGATGCAAGTTCGATCCCGAGGGAAGGACAGAGGAAGAGAAGGTTTGATGGAAAGATCCCCGACTGTCATGTAGCCCAAGAAAGGATCAGTGAAGTCTTTTTGTGCCAACGTCGGCCACTGGAGGAGTCCCTGCTAGGAAGGGGGCTGCCCACGTGTCCTTGCTGCACCCAAGTCTGAGCTGGGAGCAGCCCATGGGTGAGTGAGGGGATCCGACAGCCCAGCAGTTGGACCCCCAGTCAGCGGTCCTTCCTGTAGCTGGAGGATGCGAGCCTCCTTGGAGTTCCTTTCAGGGGAACGGATTCCCAGAATAGGATTGAAGCAAAGCAAAGAAAAAAAGAGTTTGATAAATCACAAAAAGACTCTTAACTCTTGACCAAAAACCACATTGGCTGGCCAGCTCGACTATCCATCTTAGTACTTATCAGGGTTGGCTCCATGCAGATTTGTCAATCAATCAATCAGTCTGCACTTAAATGATAACTGGTGTTATCCTTAATGATATTCCAAGGAATATGTCACAGAATCTGAAGGCAATCCCAAGGAACATTCTAGATACATTCTAAACAATGGCAACATTATAAGAGTAAGTGCACAGCCTTCAAAGGTGATTCCTTTGAAGTCACCTTTGCTGAAAATGGCGGGCCATTCTCAGTATGTATAGGATTTCAGGGGTAATAGTAAAAAACTGAAATAGCTGTTTTATACCTCTATTTCCTCCAGGTATGTGCACAAGCAAATGGGTGTGTGTGAAGATTATTCAATGAGGCTGATGAATGGGACTCTTCCAAGGCTCTGTGCTTATCAAAGGGAGATTGACAAATTTTATAACCTCTAAGACCTACGAGCCTTCATCCACCCTAGGTGTGCGTATTTGTGCTTGTGTGGTTTTGTGTGTTTTTCTATGGCTCGCCTGCCCCCAGCCTCACACTTAGATACATACGGTTCTCCATATGGGGGAATGCTCTCCCTCATTCACGTTCTTAAATGTCTTTGGATTGCTTAATAAAAAGAAGTTAAAGGGTCTATCAAGAGGAAAAAGCCCGGTTAGACCAATCTCTGAACCAAAGAGAGGGGTGGAGGAGGGACTTCTTCTTCCCCTCCTGGGGGCTCAAGCTTGGTTTCCCATCGCACGTTTGGGAGAAGGAGCTCTTCCTTCTAACCACTAGAGGGCATCAGTGTGCAGACAATGTCTGGATGAAGGCAGGGTGCTGAGCTCCAGGGAGTAAGCAGTAAGGTGACTGTTACCTTCTTGTAGTCACCAAGTCCCTTTTACTTTTCAAAACACATCTTCTTCCACTCAGGATGCTTCTTCCTCATTCAGAATCATCCTAGTATCTCCTCCATACTCCCACCCCCCAGGGGGCCGCTCATACCCCTCCTCCAGGTTCTCTGCTGTTAAGATTATCATCTCTGTGAAGGAAGGTTAACGAAGGTTAATGGAGGCCCCTCATCTTCAGGAGCCTAGACCAGGGAGACATACAGGCCAGGGAAGGAACTCTGAACTGACGTCAGGAGGAGACTTGGACCCAAGTCCCAGATCTGTTGCTGGCTGTGTGATCTAGAGAAAATGTCAGTGTGCTTATCTTTAAAATGAGAGGGACAGTCCTCTAAAGTTCTATGGGTCTATAAGAAAAGGACTGGATCTAGGAAAACATCCTCATGCGAAGGCAAAAGCCTAGTTCTTTCCTGCCATTCACCAAGTAATAATCAAAATTAGCAGTTAAAAAGTCTCATTCCAAAATTCTAAAACCAGCTTCCTTAATATTGTTTATATGCCTAATGAACAAAATCCCAAATTAGGAACCTCTTTAGGCTTCCTGGCCAACATGCGAGGGGCTTAAAATTCATTTCTCCCATCCACACAACAAGAGGGAAGATGAACAAGCCGAAAATCAACAATTCTTCTTAGATCTATCAGAATATTGACATCAAAGAGCAAACTGCCACCCCCAACATGGAAGAGACAGACAGTTGTGATTCCAGAGAATCACAACTTACTGGGGCTGAAGCCCAGCAGAAGAAAAGTCTGCAGGATCCAGTACCATCTTCCTTTTACCCATTGACCTAGTTCATCCTGTCTGACATGCAGCAAAACCCGACAAGGGAGACTAAAAGAGAAACAAAGCAAAACGAAAAACAGCTCACAGATGGAACAGACAGAACGAGCATCCGAACAAACTCAAACATGGCACAGATGTTAGAATGGTCCGACTGGGAATTTACAATGATGGTGATTTGTGTGCTAAGGGTTCTAATGGGAAAGTGGACACTATGCAAGAACACATGGGTAATGTAAGCCAAGAGATGGAAACTCTAAAAAAGAACCAAAAGTGAATGCTGGAGATAAAAAAAAAACCACCATAACAGAAATGAAGGAAGCTCTCAATGGACTCATTGATAAATTGGACTCAGCCGAGGAAAGAAGCAGTGAGCTTGAAGACATCAATAGACACTTCCAGGGGAAAAAATGATGAGAAAGAACAGAATACCCAGGGACCGCGGGACAATGAGACAAAGTACAACAAATGTGCCATCAGGAATACCAAATTAAGGACTCCCACTCTCATCTCATCAGTGCTCAACCACCCCCTAGCCACCACGCTGCTCTGAAAACCCTGAGATTCACTAGGAAATCATGTTTGTTGCTTTAACTCCTAACTAACATCTCCAAACCTTATTAAATTATCTCTGTGGAAAAGATGAAAGACCTATGAAAAGAGCAGCATGGTGAATTTCGTCAATAATAGTGGAATAATGTTCCACAATGAGAGATGGTGACTTCGCTCATCCTGGTGAGCATCATTTCACGTACAGAATGTCTAATCACTGTGTCGTACATCTGAAATGAATAGCACACTGGCATTGATGACACATTGATAAAAGGAAGGGTATTGATTTAAAATTTGGCAATTTAGCAATTGACTTTGGAATTGAATTCATTGATCCAGATCTTGAACTGGCTCCTACGTTATCTCTGTTCCAGGGGAAGTGGGGGGAAGATGAAGGACAACATGAGTGAGAATCTCAGGCGAGGGGGAAAGAGAGCTGACCCAGCTCCTCTGTAACCTCCGGGGCTCATTAAATTGGGTTTGAAGCTATGTCTACCTTCTCTCACCTTCTACCTGAATCCTCTACTCCTCAAGAGATGGCTCATTCAAACCATGGCACTGGGACGAGTGAGTCCTCAGAGATGATATTTCTTCCTGGAATAAACTGGAAAGTCTTATTCTGTTTCCAGTGGAGCTCTCTATGGAGCTGGAGAAGAGGGGGACCAGAGAGTTTGGGAGAGATGGCCCCCTCACTTTCCCTCTGAGGACATCACCTTGAGGTCTCCCAACTCTATTCTTTTGCCCTGATCCAGTTCTTTTTCTTCATTTCATCACCTCTGCTGTAAACCTCTTCATAAAAGGCCTGCCATCTTCCATCCCCAACCCTACCCTCCCTCCTGTCCCATGTGCATCAAACGTAAGATGCACCCTCTTGAGAGCGACCTTCAAGGCCATTTGTGACCCAGGGAGATGGTCTTTTGTTGCACCTCTCTGAACCTTTGCTTCCACACCAGCCACAGCGTTCTGGCAACACTGAGCTGCGAGCAGTTACCCAAAACCCAAGGCATCTTCTTGCATAGGCTGTTCTATTTGCCCTGGAAAGAACTCTCCCCACTCTTCGGGCTGAGTCATCAACATCATGTTTTCAAATCCAGCTCAAGTGTCACCTCCACCGGGAAGTCCTCCCTGAGAAACCAGTCCAGATTGCATGCCTCTCCTGGGTCCATTCTACTTGCCTTGGACTATCACTGCTTCTCTAGTGCCGAGGAGGCAGGGATTATGTTCCTGTCTCTAAATCTGTTGTCTAGCACAATCTATGGAATAGGGTTTGCTACACGGATATAAGCGTGGGTGAGTTGAAAGAATGCAAAATTTCAAAAATAAGTTGCAAAAAAAAGTACAGAGGCTCCTGGGGGGCTCAGTCAATTGAGCGTCTGACTCTTGATCCCTGCTCAAGTCTTGATCTCAGGGTCATGAGTTCAAGCCCTGCGTTGGGCTCCAGGCTGGGCATGGAGCCTACTAAAAAAAAGGGGGGGGCGGTAAATGTGGACCATAAGGGAAAGAAAAGAAGAGGTAGAAGAGAAAAGCAGAAAAAAAAAAAAGGGAAAATTTGACATCCTATCTTAAACTTAAAAATTGGATAAGTGAATGTTTCAGTCCTCATTCAGATGATTAAGGAAATACTGCTTAAGAAGTGCCTTTTGAAAAGTATGTTTAAAAAAACTTAGAGAGGGGCACCTGGGTGGCTCAGTTGGTTAAGCGACTGCCTTCGGCTCGGGTCATGATCCTGGAGTCCCAGGATCGAGTCCCGCATCGGGCTCCCTGCTCGGCAGGGAGTCTGCTTCTCCCTCTGACCCTCCTCTCTCTCATGCTCTCTGTCTCTCATTCTCTCTCTCTCAAATAAATAAATAAAATCTTTAAAAAAAAAAAAAAAGCAACTTAGAGATAAGAGTCAGGACAGCTAAAATGGAGTGTGTCTCTCAAAATGTTAAATCCATTTATGTAGTCCAAAAGCAAAGAAAACTTAAAATGGTGGAAAACCCAGAAAAAGATGGCAGAAGAAAGATCAAATGAAGGGGTCATATCAATAAAAGCAAATGGATCAAGATTCTCTGCCAGAAGACAGACAGATGGGGTCAAAACCCCAAACCTGAGCATCTACAATTTACAACTTACACACCTAAAATAAAATTATCCGAACAGGCTAAGATAAAAATATGGGCAAAAGACATGACTGTTAGATTTTTAAAAAGGAGAAATATGGAAAATAGAGCTTTCCATATTAACAGAAGACAAAGACCCAAAGTCAAAGACAGTATACGAGACAAAGGTTTTTTTGTCTTCTTAATTAGCTTTAATTTTTTAATCAAAGAAGTTAAGCGTGTGCATAGTCTTTTATTTAATTCTCAAAAGATAAAACAAATGTATCTGTTCCTACTCCTTCCTTCCCATCCAATATTTTAAAGGCAACATTGTTCAACTCTTACAGCTGCTTCTTATTTGCAGTTCAATGTTAACATTAGTGGACATAAACTGACCTCACTTGATCAGTAATAGTGACTTTTTATAATGCCAACAAAGAGGTTGGTGGGTTTTTTTTTTAATTATTATTTTACAGCCATCTTAGCTGCTCTCATTCTTCCCGATGTCACAATGTAGAGGCATATTCCATTTGGGGAATGTGCCCATATCCAATTTTGTATCAGTTAGGAATGTGCAAATAGGGGCACCTGGGTGGCTCAGTCATTAAGCGTCTGTCTTCGGCTCAGGTCATGGTCCCAGGGTCCTGGGATTGAGTCCCACATCGGGCTCCCTGCTCCACGGGAAGCCTGCTTCTCCCTCTTCCACTCCGGCTTGTGTTCCTGCTCTTGCTGTCTCTCTATCAAATAAATAAATAAAATCTTAAAAAAAAAAAAAAAAGGAATGTGCAAATAACAGAAAACCATCTGAACAGTGGCTTTCAGGCAGTCAAGTGTGGAGCTCGTGGTTTTATGATATCATTAGGAGCTCAGGCTGTTTTCATTTTTCTGTTCTCCTGTTTTGCACTTGTTCTTTTTATGCTTATGGTCCCAAGATAGCTTGCTACACCTCGGATATTGTATCTGAGTTTCAGGCAGGGAAAAAAGGAAGGAAGGAAACAAATAAGGAGGAGAAGGGAAAAGAACAATTTTCCAGAAGCCCTTAGCAGGTGCCTTATTCGGAAGTACTATGTCACATTGGCACTCTAACTGCAAGGCAATCTACTATTGCAAGAATGTTTAGACAGGCACTAGCCAGTCAAGGTTTTGATATAAGAAAGAAAAGTTGTAGAAATTGGCAAAGGAACCAACCATGTTTTTATTATCAGCACTATGTGAATAGTGTTAGTTGCCTAACCAGCCGTACGTTACGAGTATTTTCCTTCGGTACGTGTTTTTGTTTCGCCTGGAGTTAAAGCTTGCCTCGTTATTTTTCATTTGCTTTGTTGTTATTGTTGTTTTCTTGAGCTTTGGCTTTTTCCGTGAATACTAAGCTCCGTAAAATATCTGTCAACATTATTTCCGTGTTAAATCTGTCACATGATCTGCCATTGCAAACCTTTTTCAGGAGATATCGCTCCTTGGGCGACCCATTCTGTTCCAGTGGTTCTCCAGGCTTGAAGACAACTGTCCCCCCCGGGGCCATACTTTCGTCACTGCCTTCCATCCATTTCCCCTACTTCCCCAAATCCTCTTTCATTTTCTTGAATTACTAGATAATTTTGTGGGGACATATCCTCAATTGCCTTCTGGAAAGGAAAAAGGGGGAATGATGTATGGCTGCTATTTATTTTTTATTTTTTTTAGACTTTCGCATTTCTAGCCTAGCACTTGATTGAAAATCTTGCCAGTCTAGGGCTCTAGGTTGGAATAGGTTTCTCTCCGATTTTTGCTGTCTATCTCCTGCTTTTTCGAAGTCTGATGCCATTCTGATGACTCGTCCTTTGTGTGTGACCTGTTTCCCACCCCCACCTTGGATGTTTTTAGGATCCTTTCTTTATCCCGAGGTTCTGAAATTTCACTATTGTGTGTATTGACGTGAGTATTTTATCACCCATTGTGCTGAACATCTGCTAAGAAGTAATCTGGAAGCTCTAATTCCCAGTTCTGGGGAGGTGAATTTCATTGTTCCTTTGTTAATATGGTCCCGTACATTTCCTTGATTTTTGGTTTTGGAAACTGTAGTAAAATGAGGACTCTCTCTTCCTGTTTATTTCTTTTTTTTTTTTAATTGAAGTATAATTAGCGTACAGCATTATATTAGTTTCCGATGCACAACATATTGACTCAGTGATTTCATACATTACTCTGCTTACCCTGAGAAGTGTAGTCACCAGGCGGTTCTATTACATTATCGACCATATTCCCTCTGCCGTACCTTTCGTCCTCATGACTTGTTTACTCTTTAACTGGAAGTTTGTACCTCTTAATCCCCCTTTTTTTATTCAACAATCCTGTTCTTTCTTCAAGACCTTCCAACTTTGTTTTCCGGATTCTCTGCTGAACTTTTCATCACGGCTGTCACATTTTTAATTTCCAAAGGCTGTTTCTGGTCCCCTCGTAAACAGCATCCCATACCCATTTCACAGACCCACTGCATTTTCTTATCTCTGAGGATATTGATTACAATATCCTTAAAGTTACTAACTCCATCATATGGTAAACACCTGGCCACCTGGCTTTTCCTTTGGGAGCCTTGGGAACCTGGATGTCAGCGTAGGTAGATCTTTTCTGGGGCTGTGTGCAGACAGGAGTGGTTTCTCCGAGGCTCACTCCCAGAATTCAGAGGCTGGTGGGAAACTCAGTAAACAGACTATTGCCTAATTCTCTGGTCTTCAGTTCCCCATACTCACCCCAACCCTATTCTGTCCTTAATGCTTCTGAGTTTAAAGGCTCTCGGGTTCCATTTTTTAAAGCATTTGTCTTTTGCTTTATTTTGGGGGACAATTGCTGAAGGGAAGGAAAAAAATCTTCTTGACTCTTGAGGTCTTCCAGCTGGACTAAAGTGACATGAGACAGATGAACAGGGGAAAAAAGTACAGTTTTATTTCGTGCTCATGGAGACCTGATAATGAAATTGAGACCCAAAGAAATGACCAAGGCGGGCCATTTTTATACTGTTTAGACAGAGACAGTAAATCCGTGAGGAATTGACAGGACAGAGGAAACTCAACTTTGGCAGCTTCAGTTAGTGAGGAATTCTAAACAGAATCTGGGCTGGGGGAGTAAATGAGTAAAAAGTAGCAAGGTTGTTTATACAGACTGCTGAGCTCTGAATGTCCCACCTCTGGGGATGAGGAGAGGTCTCTTTACCTCCTAGTACAGGGAGGGCACCTTTCCCACCGGAGATTTATTTCCTGCTTTCAGGGGCACGGAGGAGGGCCTGAAATTCCTTCCTGCTCAGGCTGACTCTTATGTAAATTTTATTTAAAATAATCAAGCAGCGAAAGTGGCACGTTTAGGGCCGGCTTGCCCTTGGCCCCCTTGTCTGTGTAGGATAGTGCTGGGTAGGGTAGGGGATGTTGGATCTAATTGCTTCTCACAGAAACTTTCGAATAATCCTCTGGTTGTCAACCCTACCTCACCTCTGGCTTCTTTGGTATTTGTTTTCTCCAAATCCCTAAGGGTTTCCAGCACTCGAGTTAAGCAATACTAACCTACTTCTCACCAGTTCCCCTTCTGCTATAAGGGCCATGGAACTTTCTCTCATTGCTAAGCCAGTTAGCAGTCACTCACGTTCCTGTTTCGTGTAAGTGATATTACTTGGGGCCGTAGAAGTCTGGGTTCATCAATGATGGAATTTACCTTTCCGTTTCTCCTGGTTGTTTGCCATGATTTTGAGAAGAAACGGAAACCAAACCACCTTTTGTGGTTATGACTTGAAAACTAGGAGCCTCATTTTGTTTTGATAAAAATTAACAATTCACGATAAGTATGTAACTGACACAAACTTTTATCTGGGGAATAATGTTGCATCAAAACATATAAAAGCAAAATATTTGATATTCATGGGAAAATTCAGGAAGTTATTATACTTCTTTAAATCCTTGACAGATCAATAGGCAAAAATAGGGAGGCTGGAGATCTGAATAATGTAATTGATTGGTTTGATTTCAGAGATATATTTCCAGCTCTGTACTTCACAGAGAATAAAAAGAAACAAAATACCAACCTCAGTCATAGATCCAAGAACATAGGAGAATACATCTCACGATGAAGCTGGCATTTCAGATCACAAGCCAAGGGTAGATTGTTCAACAAATGGTGTTGGGAAAACTGGCAACTGATCTGGAAAGAAAGAGAAAGAGACTAACGAATTCTGTCTTTTTTTTTTTTTTTTAAGATTTTATTTATTTATTTGACAGAGACAGTGAGAGCAGGAACACAAGCAGGGGGAATGGGAGAGGGAGAAGCAGGCTTCCCGCTGAGCAGGGAGCCCGATGCGGGGCTCGATCCCAGGACCCTGGGATCACGACCTGAGCCGAAGGCAGATGCTTAACCGACTGAGCCACCCAGGCGCCCCTAATGAATTCCGTCTTTTAGTTATTGCTGTCAGTTCTTGGCAGAGAGTTTGACCACAGGGGCTTTTCCCGGACAGTCCTCCTTCCCTGGTCTTTTGCACACTACCATAGGCTGTTTCCTAAGAATTCTAAAGAATAATCAGAATTCAGCCATTTGGCTTCCTCCGGTGATTTAAATGGCTGCATTATTTTGAAAGCCAAGAGACCCTCCATAATTCATCCGTCCCCCCCAACCTCCGCCCCGCCACCAACTTAGTTGATTGCCCGGCATGCGTTTGGTAATACAGAACTGCATACTGGAATCTTCCACCATGGGGGTTTGGAGGGGGCCAGAACATGGGTGGAGGAGGCTGGGAATCCCACATTATGGAACAAGGCAGTTGTCCATAGACAAGGCTTCCCAAAGCCCTCTCATGCTGTCTGAGGATTCTCGTGAGCTCCTCCTCCAAGCTATTCCCTTGTCTGCTGAGTGCTCGCAGCTCTGAAAAGCCACTCCAGATACTCTGCCTTCTTTCTGTGTGCCCTCTTCCCCCATCCCATCTGGGAGAATGGGAATAGAATATTTACCAACTGTTCCCTCCTTGTGTCGTTGACACCAACCAATCAGAAGGGTCAGATACCAGTCAGTCTAGAAACTGGATATGATTAACCAGTCAAACCTGTGCCTAGCGGATGAACATCAGCTCTCCCTCTGCTAAATTCTCCTAAGAGCCTTTCCCCAGAACCCCACTTTGTTTGAGGTGTTCGATTCTCTTAATTTTTACCTCCTTTATCCCCTTGAACTTATTCTAATGGTTGTCCTTTCCTTCCCTGACACGTTGTCTGCCTGATGATAATTTTCCTGGTTTGATTTACCATGAAAGTCTCTTGAGCTAGTACCTTTCCGGAGTGGGGCGTAAGTGGGGACAGACGCATCCACTGGTAGACCAGACGGAATATGGCTAAGCATACCCATCATGGCTTCCCCACTGTGGGACCAAATTCCCCTTGATTTTTATACGTTAGAGCTCTCTTCCCAGCTACTCAAAATCCTTTCTCCTTTTGATTGTACCATTGTTTCCTTACTCTAAGAACATAGCCAGATCTTCAGCGTTCTGATGGCTGAAATGCAAAGAGGGTAAAAGTGGAGAATCTCAGAGGACATTTAGGGCCAAGTCTGAATGTGGTCAGTATGCCTTCTACCCATATTTCACTGGCCAGAATTCAAAAGGATATCTCTCACCACTGCTCGGAAGTCTGGAAAATGTAATATAACTTGTTCACAGAGGGAAGAAATTGGTCTGGTGAGCATCTCGCCAGTTTCTGCCTCAATTTATTATCCCTGTCCTGCAAAGTGTGGTGTGCATTCTAAATTTGGATGAGTCTGTGATGTTTCTAATTTCCATTTTTTGCAAGAGAGCATTTTCATTGGAGTAGTCATGTTTTTTTTCCTTCAGGGTAGTTGTCCTTAAGCCTTGATATGCATTGGACTATCCTGGAAAGTCTTGTTAAAATGCAGATTCCTGGTACCACCTCCCCGAATTCCAATGACCTTGGACCCCATGGCCACAGGGCATCTGCGTTTTTAACAAGCAACCCAAGGGCTTCTACAACCCAGAGTTTGAGAAACACTCCTTTCTAAGTTCAAAGTTATTCAAACAATGTTATTCGATAGACATTGAGTCCATCAGAGAAAAATCCCTTTAAGGGTAGGAAGAGGGGGACCAAGGGACTGGATTTTGCTTGAAGACCTAGAAGTCAGATGGGGAGGCCCTTCTCTACATCGTTGGGGGAAATGACAGGGAACCATATCTGGACAGAGCCTAATACATGGACCACTGTAATCCAGTGTTTCAATGTTTACACTTTAGTTTTAATTCTGCCTTCAGCTCTAAGACACACATTTTTGTTTCACATTTTAACGTTTCTGATACCAGGATGTATCTTACAGTCAATAGTGTCTTAAAATTGTAATTGATACCATTTTACTTTTTGTAAGAGATGCATAAAATAATAGTGTATCTTAAAACCCTTGGTGGCTTAGATTCATGAAACAGGGTACTTCACCATAGTTACGTGTGTGTTAGATTTTACCTTAGTTGTACTTACTTGCTTTCACCAGGAATTCACACCCCAGGAGTGGTGAGCTAGTATTCTAATTAGGAAGCCCACTGCCAGAAAGAGCTAAGAGAAGTGCTTTAGTTATCTTTACCTCTGATCAATGTCTTTAGTCAAGACATTGGTCTTTGGTTATCTTTTTTTTTTTTTTAAGATTTTATTTATTTATTTGAGAGAGAGAGAATGAGAGACAGAGAGCACGAGAGGGAAGAGGGTCAGAGGGAGAAGCAGACCCCCAGCTGGGCAGGGAGCCCAATGCGGGGCTCGATCCCGGGACTCCAGGATCATGACCTGAGCCGAAGGCAGTTGCTTAACCAACTGAGCCACCCAGGTGCCCCTTTGGTTATTTTTACCTCTGATCAATGTCTTTGGTCGAGACATTGGTCTTTGGTTATAATTAACACAACAAATGCTAAAAGTGGATTTTCACTGGTGAAATAATGGTGTTTAAGAAATGTGAATTGGCTAAAATATTTTTTATGGGTTTTGTGTGAACATAAGCTTTCTTTAAAATTTTTTTTTTCAAAACCACTTTAGCAATTTGGGGTCCTTTGTGGTTCCATATAAATTTAAGGATTTGTTTTTGTTGTTGTTGTTCTAGTTCTGTGAAAAATGCTCTTGGTATTTTGATAGGGATTGTGTTAAATCTGTAGATTGCTTTGGGTAGTATGGGCATTTTAACAATATTTATTCTTCCAGTCCATAAGCATGGAAGGTCTTTCCATTTCTCTGTGTCGTCTTCAATTTCTTTCATCAATGTTTTATAGTTTTTAGAGTACAGGTTTTTCACCTCTTTGGTGAAAGGTTTCTTCTTGGGCATCTTATTATTTTTGGTGCAGTTGTAAATGGGATTGTTTTCTTAATTTCTCTTTCTGTTACTTCATTATTAATGTATAGAAATGCAACAGATTTCTGCATGTTGATTTTGTATTCTGTGACTTTACTGAATTCATTTATCAGTTCTAGTAGTTTTTTGGTGGAGTTTTTCGGGTTTTCTATATAGAGTATCATGTCATCTGCAAATAGTGAAAGTTTTACTTCTTGCTTACCAGTTTGGATGCCTTTTATTTCTTTTTATTGCCTGATTGCTGTGGCTAGGACTTCCAAAACTATGTTGAATAGAAGTGGTGAGAGTGGATGTTCTTGTCTTGTTCCTGACCTTAGGGGGACAGCTCTCAGTTTTTCCCCATTGGGTATGACTAACATCCCTTACCTTGATCTGCCAACCTTAAGCTGTTTTCATACTAGGACATTTCGAATGCTAATGGACCAAGTCTGAGGTGAGGGTTCCTATGAGTTTGTTCTCACACACACACACACACACACACACATATTGCTGGTCATACTTACAGATCATAAAATTACCATAGATACATCACATTGATGACATATTGATTATATAGGCAGTCGGTGATAATGAAACGTCAACAACAATGCTATAGAAATATATCTGTTCTGCAGTATGGAGAATAACATGCAATAAAAATTAAAAGATGAAAAAAAGAATAAATTTGTTGGCAGTGAGTGATGTTTACAACATGTAGATAACAACCAAGGAAGGGTACAAATCACTATCCATATATTACATTAACCTCTATTCCCTTTTTATATAAAAGTTCGTAACTAAATCAGCCAAAATGTTACAAAAGTTTTCAAAAGTTGAATCACCCAAAATGTTAATAGTGGATTATGTGTGATTTTTCTTTTTCTTTCTTTTTGTTTGAACTCTCTGTCCTAAGTCATCTGGTGTGCATATGGGCTATTTGTAATGTTAGGAGGCAGATAACTTATAAAGTTAAAGGTCAAACCTTTCTCGTCAGGGTACAAATGCTCAGCATGTCCTTGTCTGTCTTCTTCTTCGCATGTCTTCCAGCAGCATTTAGGACACAGCACCCTCTCTTTTTAAAAATCTTTTCTTTGGGGGGGCGCCTGGGTGGCTCAGTCGGTTAAGCGACTGCCTTCGGCTCAGGTCATGATCCTGGAGTCCCGGGATCGAGTCCCACATCGGGCTCCCTGCTCAGCGGGGGGTCTGCTTCTCTGGCGTTTGAGTATGCAAGTCAGTGATTTTTAGAAAATGTGTAAAGTTGTGCAACCATCACCAGAATTCAGATGAAGAACATGCCCATTACCGGGAAATAGTCCCCTGTGCCCATTTGCAGTCAGACCCCACTCCCACCTCAGCTCAAATAGCCATCGATCTTCCATCTGTATAGATTTGCCTTCTGTGAATATTTTGTACAAATGGAGTCATTCAGTATGTGTCCTTTCACTCACCATCATACTTTGGAGGTTCAACCATGTTGTAATCTGTATCAATCTATTCCTTTGCATTGCTAGATAGTATTTCAGTGTGTGAATTTATCACAGTGATCTCCCATCACCACTTGATGGGCATTTGGATGGTTACTACGTTTTGGCCCTAATGAATAACGGTCCTATGAACATGTTCCTACAAGTCTTTGTATGCACATAACTTTTTGTTTCTCTTGAGTGGATAGTTGGAAGTGGAACTGATAGGGGGAGCCTGGGTGGCTCAGTTGGTTTAGCTGCCGACTCCTGATTTTAGCTCAGGTCATGATCTCAGGGTCCTGGGATTGAGCTCTGTGTTGGGCTCTGTGCTCAGCAGGGAATCAGCTTCAGGATTCTCCCTCTCCCTCTGCCCCTCCCTCC